TCAATTCTATATCTACTCTGCTTGGCATCTTGCAATAGTTGAGAATCTCTTTTTTTTTACAAAGTTGTTGATGGTTAAAAATCTCATCAAACTCGCGACCGAATAATGGCTGGAGAATTGATCGGACTTGATGTACATCTGTGGTTTTTGGGATTGAGTTAGATTAAGTTGTCTCTGGACGATGTGTTGCTATCTTCCAGTGCTGTCCTGCAACATGATATTCCGCCCCGTAACGTATTACGTTGTATAGGCAATCGTAGCACGTCTCGTTCTTATATTTTAACGCTCACAAAACCTCAAAACGGCGCAACAATATCCGCTAATCTATAAGGGTGTATTCTTTTGAGAATTCATCTGTAGCGACGTTTTGTTTAGTCAACAACGCTCAGGCTTTTTGGCACCCGTACGGTACAAGACAAAAAAGCCGTTTTCATAGTAAGCGAGAACGTATGTGTCTGACTATATGAATAATAAAATGCATAACACAGGCCATGAAATCCCCCTGTTTACTCAAACAACGCCAAGAACGAGAAACCGAAAACCTGAAGAAAGACCCACACAAACGACGCGTTTTTTATTTATAACGCGAGTGTCGTAACGTAACAAGAAAAAAGCAGTTTAAAGATGTGGTAAAAGAAAAAATCTCTCTCAAAAAAAAAAAAAAACAACAACAACAGAACATTGGCGTCATTCTGACCCATTAAGCGAATAAATAAATGTTCGGATTAATGCTATTTTAGATCAGATCGCAATTGCTTACTTCTGGAAAATCAATAATTCTCTGGTGTTAGAGTTCTGGCCCGTCTACACGCATTGGCAAAATCAAGTATATAGACGCGAATTCTTGTGCGTCCGATTACTTTCAAGGCTCTATTCATATGTTAGCGTCGCCTGGTACTATTCAATATAGTCGATGAATATTAACCGTCGATAATACATTTAAAGGTATGGTAGATCACCAATTTGGATCAAAAAATGAAAAACCGACAGTTCCTTCACATTATATAGCGGTAAAGAAGCAATGCCAAAATTTCACGACAGAACAACTTGATTATAATCAAGTAATCGAATTCGCTTTTTGCAATGTTATCAGTCTTACAGCGATATCGCCAACGAACTGTTGTGCACTCGGTATGTTTAATTTTAGTCGAGTCATTAACGTAACGAATAGACGAATGTGGAAAGTGGACTTCCATTTCCCTTTTAAAAAACATGTGTCAAAAAATAAAAAGAATTAATTCATTGGCAGTATTAATTTTTCAATCCCCGTCAAAGACTAGCTTCATTGGTCGTCTCATGTGTCTTGTTTATTTCTCGCTCTCATTCTTTTTTTTTCTTTTTGTTTTTCAACGTTCACATTAAAATTAAACCGTCATACATCCCTCAACGATTTCCAAACCTACACATAACCAAGTTCCTTACTCGCTCCTCCCATTCGCCGCCGTCAAAACCCCATGCTCAATAGAATAATAAAATATATGAGCAAGTTTATCATTAAGAATCAAGATTAACCCCTTGTTTTCGGCTCTCAATGTCTTTCTCTCCCCTCACCCTCGTTCTTCATTTCAGATACTTATTTGAGACGCATCCAATCCCAAAGCATGTAAAAATAAATTGACATTGTTAATTTTCTGGTACGCTTTATCTGACTGAAGCTTCACTTGGAAAAGTGTCTCCATCACTCGTTCCCTATAAAATGTAAACCGTGTGAGCAAACAAATGCTCTCACCAGGTTCGCTCCATCGTAACATATATAAATTCTCATACTTTACCTCACTTCGGTCACTAGAACCGACTGCTGCTCATGCGAAGCCCCAACAGCCATAGCGGCCAAAAATTGCCAGACGTACATATCATCTATCCCCGTAACAAATGGCGGAAACAGTGATAAAAAGTGGGTTTGAAGTAATGTAAAAAGGTGATTATATAACTCTTGCCTATTGAAACAAAGAGAAAATAACAGTTAGAATGTGTAAATTCAAGCACGTGGCTTACATCAGCCCTCCGGCATTCTTTCAACATCAACTACCCTCGCTACCTACCATTGCAGGAATTCTCTTTCTTCGGTCTGTGGGTGACTTCCACGACCCTGTTTCAAAATCTCCGCTCGACTCAAAAACATTGTCAAAAATGCCAACCCGACCTAAACAATCGAACAAGTGTTAGCGCGCGCAACAGAGTTCGTGAAATCGGTAATAAAATCTGTCCAAAAATGAAAGTTGTCCGTTATCCCAAATATACACATAGATCAATATATATAATGCAAACCTTGCTTTTAGCGACGCAAATAATATTATTTCTTTCAATAAATAGTGCCAGCAAACCAATAACAATCTTCAACGGTGCTTCCGTAATAAATTGTAGCAACGGCGGCACCACCGTATTCATAAACAACTCTACTTCTTCCATAACACTTGTTGACACCGTCTCTGTTTGATTCCAGATTTCATTCTTGCACACGTCGAGCGATTCGAAATTGGCCACGAGCATTGTAAGCATCGCAAGTATTTGATCGGGATGGCAATGGCGAAGGGCGCGAGGAGTTACTTTTTTGCCTTTTGATATGCTTAGAATTGCTATAAAGGGGTGTGTATGGCTTTATGAGGGTTGGCCACGCCACCAGTGTCACGCCAGAATAATGATACGGGGCGAGTGTGGTAAGTACTATGTAATAGGCAGGAGATGGTGTTAATATCAAGATGAAGAAACACACCTTATACTGCTTGGCTCCATTACTGACAATTCTTCCCACATAGTCCTTGCTACTTCTGTATATTCGTTATTCCTGCAAACCGTGCGTCGCACACATAAGTTATCTTATCCTATAGCTATTACGAATTCCCTAGTATATACTTTGCCACAACCAAATTCTAGTCGCTACGCGGAACTCTATCGTCAATTTTTTGTCCATTTATTAATAAAAACTTTCCATCGTCTCCTTTTTGGCCCAGAATCAACACAGTCGACACAGCCGACACAGCCGACACAGCCGATACAGCCGATACAGCCGATACAGCCAATACAACTGACACGACCGACCGTTCCATCACAACAACCAACACATACAACACCTGCTTCCGTCGACAATCTATTACGGTACCCTTCTCCGTTATCAGTTCCATCAACTTCCCAC